CCAGCGAGGTTTGTTGAAGTCTATACAAAGCAGGGTCAACACCCTGGCCAGTATCCTTGATTTCTACAAGGAGAGCATGTATGCATTAGGGCTGCATAATGTATCAGTGCAGTATTGGTTTATTGGTGTCTACCTACTTTGGATATGTAAGTATATATGCACATTTCCCCTGTTTTTACATTTAGATTACCTTTGTCATGGAGCACTCCCCAAGTTAAAAACACAAATCATTTATTAACACTGTTAAATGTAATCTATCAACATCAGAATTGTAAGGCCTAAATTGTAATATGCCATGAAAAATGCTTGCTGTCTGTATTTGAGGCAATGCAATCTGCTGTATCCCTGTGTTTCCTTAACTGACCCCTACTTCAGACCGTTTCCCTGCCATCAATAACCTAATACAGCGGATCAACTTGAGGAAGAGACGGGACTCATTAATTCTAGGAGGAGTCATCGGCATCTGCACCGTCCTTCTGCTGCTGTATGCATTTCACTGACGGGCAGGGGAGCTAACCGACTTCTTTTGGGGGGTGTTCTGCAGAGCAGTGGCGAAGCCTTGAGAAAGGGCTAAATGAGAGGCGGACCATTGGGGCCACAAAGCAGAAGCCCACTTGGCCTAGTCTGGTAACAGGATTGATTGTGGCCAGCATGGACCTTATTTGTATTTAGCATCGGAAGGGGTTTAGCTCTAACAGCCTTTTTTTGTTTCTGTACTACAAACAATGCGCTGTTCAGATGTGAACTGGGACCGGAGACCAAATTACTAACAGGAATAAATTTCAATGAGCATATTATAACACAGTGGCTTTGAGACAAGAGCGATGCTGTGAAGCATCAACTTTGCATTGCGCTGTTCCTGTATATTATTAATCGGAAGAGGGTTTTAATTTGATGATCCTTTTAGTAAGAGGGTTTCTCATCATGCTGTGTACTTTGTGAATTAATAAATTATTCATATACAGGATATTAAAAATGTGTCTAGACGTCCATCCTCTAAAGCTTCTATTTTTTAGATATTTCTAAACTCTCTCATCGATGACATTTTACACTGGAGAAGGCAGTCCAAAAATAAAACACTTGCATTGCAGCGCTTGACATGTTAGCCCTTCTCTTTCAAGGTGCTGTTGCTTTATGCTTTTACTAATGTGTCTTTAAGTTGAGAGCAGGTTCAAGTTAAGAATATCTGGCTAAACCAACAAGCCTGCGCTCGCAGCCCACTTGTCTGCTGACTTGCATCCTATGGAACTGGAGCGTGAGAGACAGAAGCAGGCCAGAGCTTTAACATGATGAATATACAAGCTGAAAAGCATCGATCCAGGCAAATGAAAAACTAGCACAGGGATTGCATGTAGAGGTAAGACCAGCACTCTACACAGCAGAGTTGTAGGAAAGAGAAGGAAGGATTGGAAGTCTTATTGTTACCACCTGTTTCTCTATCCCTCTTGTGTTTACAAATGATGTGGCATTTATAAAAGTGAGCATTTCTGCTGAGACTCTCACATCTGGAGCTATATGCCATAGTTAGACTTGTAGAATTTGTTTGCCTGAGGTATTTCCATAGATGCATAAAGAGAGTGATATTCACACAAAATCAACATAATCACTCAATGGAGACCTCAGCTTCCCCAAAACAATAAACTAGATTGGGCTGTTGGAAACTAAAAAAATCTTTCTTCCTTTTTCCTTTGTTCCCTGTTGGTCCATTATCTAAAGGTCACGTGAGTCTCCTACTGTTCCAGTCCATACATTGACCAAGTGCCCTGAAATGCAGAACAAATGTTGAGGGACTAAGGGTCTATTACAGATAAAATGAGCCTCAGTGACCAAAGGTTCATCACAAATCTCCAAAGAAGGTGTTTCTCGCCATACTTTCAGAGAGTGTATTGTATTATTGGTGGGTTTTGTGGCAACAGCACTAAGTCACAAATGAGGTACCTTGTTGTTTTCTCTGCCTAAATGTGTCTGTAGGAGAGGTACTGCAGCTGTCATTTGGAAGCTAATAGGCCACACACAGAACTCCACAGGAAGCCTCCTCACTTCCCCTGCTGACTGAAACATGTTCTCTTTACACCAGCCCAGAGAATAAATGAATAAATCTTTGTCATCTCCACATTGTTTTATTTTGCTCTACATGTTGCCTTATTTTGTTCTTTCCTAGTGTTCTTATGATGGGACTCCTACCTGATCTGAGGTGAGAACAGAGACATCACACGCATTACCTGCTCTGCTATTCATGAATTTTGAGGTATGATGGCTCTGGAATATTTTAGGGTTTTTATTCCTTTGCTCTGTTGAGGTTAAAGTAGACTGCTAGCAAAACTGTTTTCTGAATGTAGCACTAAACAATGAAGCCCTTTCTGCTTAATTTCATCAATAGCTGCAGCTGTGTAGTAATGCGTGAGTGAGGGGGTCGTGTAATTCTTGGTTTCCTGGGTGGCTTTCCAAAAGATGCATAGTCAGTGAGTCTGAAACTGGAGACAGATCACAATCTTACTTTGTCACCGCTGTGCCCTTGAGTGAGACACTTAACCTGAAGTTATTCCAGGGCAACTGTAGTGACAATCATCCTACATCAGGAGTGTCCAGTTCTGCTCCTGGAGGGCCAATGTCCTGCAGAGTTTAGCTCCTTGCCCCAACACACTTACCAGGATGTTTCTTAGTTTACAGTCTTTGTTGGTACCATCCCTACTCTTGAACTAAACTGTAAAGAGGACATTGATTTATTGGTACGTGTGTTACTGCACCAAAAATTGATGTTGATGCAAAAAACACGGGTTACACTTTACTTGAAGGGGTGTGCATAAGACTTAGGCAAATATGACATTATTAGGTCAAATAATGTCATATTTGCATTAAAAATGACATAACTGAGCGAATGACACTTAATGACAGTTGTCATAAACATGCATAAAACCTCCTTCATATTCATGACATGTTTCATGTCATGATTATGAAGGTGTCATGTCAGTCTTATGCACACCCCTTCAAGTAAAGTGTTACCAAAACACGTACTACAGCACTTGTGTAAATCATATTAACCACATTTTAAGCCACACGAGAGGAATATGGAACTGTCACCCAGTGCATGCAAAACCTAACTAGCTGGCTGAGAATTTCCTAGGCTGGTGCATTGGCAATAAAGGTTGTTTTAGATCAGTGGTTCTCAACATTTTTTACTTCAAAGCCTCCCATTGTCAACAACAATATTCAAAGGCCCTTAAACGACTTTTCCAGTTGATTATGATTTACTAATTTCTACCTGATAAAATATTTTAGAGTGTGGCATGCATATACATAAAAATGTATATCAATTATAAAAATGCTCATGGAGATTTTAATTTACAAGACTTTTCCTGCTGTTGAAATTAGGCTGATATTTAAAACTCTGTATTTTTTATTTTACAACACCAATGTTTTAAAGAAAGAAAAAAACTTGTTAAGAGAGTGAATTAAAATGAAATATCTTTTTTATTAAAAATGTTTATTTTAATGTTGGTTTAATCTCAAGTCATCATTTTAAGTCATCTTGAGTGTGCCTCAGCCCCAGATTGAGAACCATTGTTTTACATCACAAATATCCATGTCAGGGTTTCTTGGTCAGTAATATGTCGCATTTGTGAAATTGTGATAGAAAAGCCGATGCAGAATTACATTAAAGGGGTCATATGATGCGATTTCAATTTTTCCTTTCCCCTTTAAGTGTTATAAGCTCTTGGTGCATAAAGAAGATCTGTAAAGTTGTAAAGACTAAAGTCTTAAATCCAAAGAGATATTCTTTATAAAAGTTAAGTCAACCCCACATGTCTACGTCACTGTGTGGGAAGATTTGTATAACGCCGCCCAAATGTTCACACAAAGAAAGAAGGCGTAAGTTTTATTCTCGCTGTAGTATTGTTGCTGCCGCCATGTCGTTAAGACGCTGTGTTTCGTTGTGAAAGCGAAACTACTTTGTTTGGTCTTCCAAAAGAGGACTGTATCCACTTAGTCATGCCTAGAGCTGATCCGTGCTGGTCGCTGATGAAATACATCAACTTTACACTGTGGATCGCCGGATCGGCTTTCACCATGGACGTAGCGGAGTCCATCCCGGGGTCGTCACATGTGGTTGCCGCAAGCCCGCCGGCCGCTGCTCACTCTAGCCGCAGGCCTCGGCTCACTCAAGGCCGCTGTGTGTGACGCTGTGTTTCGTTGTGTAAGCGAAACTACTTTGTTTTTTTAGAAAGGCGGGGCATAGAAGAGAAACAATAATGTACATTATGTGGAAAATAATGTGTTTTGAACCTTAAACTGCATAAACACATTTCATTACACCAAATACACAACATAGTTCTTTTTAGCAACATCATATGACCCCTTTAATATGTATATCTTAAAAATAAATGTAAAAATTAGCATAAAAAGATGTGCAATTCATTATATTTTGAAAGATTTAAATTCTTTTAACATCTCATGGTCAACTTCAGGCAAATATTTAGCTCCTTGGGGTTCAGCTGACAAAAAGCTCTGTTTTGTCATTGTTTCTTCTCCTTGCAAAATAAAACCATTTCGGATTGTGATGCTAGATAACTAATAATGGCACTTTAGTCTCATTTAAGCTGGTGGCTAGATTTGTGAGTACTTAAACACTTCGTGTCACTGTGAGTGAGAGAAGGCTGTTAGTGCTGAGTCCTGGAGTGAGGGCCATACTTAGAGATCAGAGAACCAGGGAAGTGCAAAATCAGCCAGTAGATCTTGTGCCATTTCCTTAGCCATGCATTATTTACAACAGCAATAGTCAGTAACATGAAAAATAAATCTTTTGTATATGTGCTTTGGGCAGGAAGGCTTTGAAAGCTGTTGTCTAGCTGTATTTCTTTGTGTAGTATCCTTAACATTTCGCTTTTTGCTAATGCAATAATTTGCTTGCTGATGTTTCTCTGCTACTGTGCTATACACGATCAATAACCGCAAGCAAGTTGTGGACCATGCATGTTAATGTTTATTTCACACTTGCAAAGGTACACAGTAACCTAACATAGAAAACAGATATACAAGTGAACCAAGAATGCAAAGTTGTACATAATAAATCACAGTTTTAAGAACCATAGCAGCATTTTTGCATCTCATTCATAATGGCATAATGGGTTTTATGAACAACACCGTAACATAATCGCTTATAGTGAACAAAAGAGTTATGAGAAGCACAAAACAGTACATTATACAGCATAATGCCTATATATGAAACGGTCATCTTAGGTGTTTAGGTACTAACAGTCTATTTTTAGGAGATTATACATGAAAGTATACTTTTAGGATACAAAAGTACTGACAGTACATAAGAATATTGATGAAAAGTAAGTGATAAAGTGCATTGAAATCTATGACAGGGCAGTCAAATACTTAATTCAGTATGAATGAAGCACGTCAATAGACATTTCCTTCTTAACCGTCACTCGGTCTAACTAGCCAGAGAAGTGCTGTTATGTGTCTGTACCTCCGATTGTGTAATTTTCTCATATTAATATCAGCAGATTGAAGAATTGGCAATCATGGAGATGCAATAAACACTGTGAGACGTGTCAAAGCAAAGTCCCTTACACACAAGCTCATTCTAGGTGAAGATAAAAAAATGTTTTGTCCACCCACGGCATGCCTAAATATTTCTATAAATATGTTGATATATATCTCATATTAATAAGGGATAAGTCTGGAGATTTATGACAGGGAAACTGGCATTCTGTCCAGGAAAGAACCCAGGGTAAAGATGAATAGTCCTGTGATTTATTTAGCATACTGATATAAAGGTCTTGGCACAGAATGGTGCTGGCCGTTGCATGCCTCTAGATGAATGTCCATGCTCCAGCAGTTTTTGACAGGAAAGAGAGGGCTGGCATGCGTAACATTTCAGTCTTACCTCTCTATGCTAGTATGGGATGTGTAGTGGATCCTCGTGGTTAAAGGCAGAGCTCTCCATGAACTTTGTGCCATTGAAAGAATATAGCATTTTATACACTGGACAATGATGTACACTCCCATCTTTAAATACCCACTACTCTTACAGATAAAAAACAGTAGTGAAAAATGCTGACAGTTATTCACATACAGGATCAGGCATGCGTGTGGTCATTTTTTTAATAATCAAAACATACAAAATAAATAAACAAAAATGAAATCTCAAACCCCAATGACCATTTCTGTTAAGTATGACAAGGATTCTATCTAACAGATTGTCATCCCTAGTTCATTCCCGTCACTTAAACTCCACATATAAATCTTTTTATAAAACATACATCAGTGGTTATGTTGCAAATATTTCTGTGCATAATTTTCAAATGCAAGATCAACCAGGAGTAATATAAGGTTAAAATGCAGCTTGCCGGGCATAGCCATGTTTTCAAAGACCATCTTTGGGGAAAAAAAAAAAAAGTCCCCTTGTCCTTTGTGCCATCCTCAGACGAGTTCTTGCCACAACAGCAATGTTTCTCATTTACATAATGCAAGCCATTACTGTTCTTTTTAACATATGGGAGTTTTTTCACTGAGCATGCTAATCTACTGCATGCATATTTGCTATTTAATCAGATCTTATTTTGCTGCTACAGTCCTCATTTCTTTTTATCTTATGTGGCATTATTGTTAAGAGGGAGATCTTATTTTAATTACATCATGGGTAAGGTTTTTATTTTGTTTGCAGTAGTGCTGTAGATGGGTTTCTCGTTCTTACTATGCCTCCTATCCAGTTACTGAGGATAGAGCAGAAAAAAGAGCATATGAATCATAACAGCAACACTGAGTATGGAAATACATGCAACTTATCAAATATAGTATATATTATCAAATATAGTATGTGAACCGCTCCATCATTTTGGCCAAGAAACTAATTTAGTCTCTGTGACATAATTATGTTTCTGCTTGTCAAGATATAATCATTTAAATGGTGGCTGTCATAACTTGTTTTTAAGAAAATCTTCTTAAAAGTATTTTCAGAATTTTTTTTTTTTTTGACAATTAAGGTGTTTATTCAAACTTAAAAAAATAATTACATTTTTACTTAAGTTTCTTTTAGCTATGATGCATTAAATTAATAAGAAATGTGAGTAAAGACTGATACATTGTTACAAAATATTTCTATTTCAAATAAATGTTATTCTTTTAAACTTCCTATTCATCAAAAAAAAAAAAAAAATCAAAGTATCACAGTTTTTAGGAAAATTAAATGGAACTGTTTTCAATGTTAATAAAAAGAAATGTCTTTTGAGCAGCAAATCAGCATGTTACATTACAGCAACGTCACACCACATTAAAGAGCATCAAAACAACATTTATTATTTGAATTTCATGGTAAAGTTGGCATAATTTGAAAGCTAAGACTTTATTTGATCAAAAAACACACTAACACTCAAAATACAAGTGTTTTGCTTATAATTGTTTTTTTTTTTTTTAAACAACTCGTGATTAATTTTGACTCAAAATAATAAAGCGTGTCACATCTATATTGTTTAATAGTGGATAGATGATGAAATAAATGCTTGTAATGCAACATACCTGCAACGACCACATAGATTATGATGCTAAGGAAGCCCACGATGATGGCCACACAGCTAAGCAGGCGAGCCAAGCGTCCCAGGCGTCTTGCCCCATCCATGTCCCCCTGCTGTAGACTGTTTCTAGACTGTAACACGACGAAAAAGAGAGAATGTCACAATTCTAATTACAGATACCGTGCACTGTGCAGTATGATCTGTTATAATAGGCTGTGTGTTCTTTTTCATTTAAGCCTTTGGTTGAAATTCAGCATGCTAGGAAGCAAAGGGTCAGAGGTGACTGTGAATTGTTCAAGTGATTTGGATACAGGATAAGCTGATAAGCGTGTTTCCTTATTAGTGCAGCCCTATGCCACAGCCACCCATTAGATGGTCAGTGTACCCTAGGGAGAGCCTCTCCAGTAGACTGCATTAAAGTAATCAATACTGAGCAATAGATTGTGCAGGAAAAAGCCTCTGACACAGTGGCCAACCGATCTCCCCACTCTCAAATGCTAATTCCATTCTCCATCTTGTCGGCGTGGTTTTTCGTCTTGCGATGTGACGTAATCTCATTATCATAAAAGAAAGTCCGGAGTCTTGGGAGTGATGCCGCTGTCCAAGGTGCTGAATGAACTTTGATCAGCTTCCTGAAGCACTAAGTAGAACTTAAGTAGTAAGTTGTACTTAATCTGTACGGCACGATTCCCAAAAGCATTTCTATGTAAGTAGGGTGTACTGTAGAGAGTACGAGCCTCAGAACTTGTGCAACTTAAGCTTTTTTCTTTTTTCCTCCCCAGTTTATCAAAGACGAAGTAAAATTATATTAATGCAAGTTTTTTTTAAAGTGGACATCGGATGCCCATTTTCCACAAATTGATATGATTCTTTATGTCTGCAACATATTTTGGTTAAAATTTCTCAATGGTCATGTAAAATGACACCCTTTTTACCTCGTCAAAAACAGCTCTTTTCACAGCGAGCCATTTCGGTGCATGTCCCATTAAATAATAAGTTACTGCTCACCACCATTAAGAAAAATTAAGACTCTTAAGCCCTATTCGCACGGGATTAGTATTACCTGGTGACCTCCAGTCATTTGTAATAATTGCGGAGGTTGTCTGTGATCTTAATCCCATGCGAATCGGCCATGTCTGTAATTTGTAAAGTAAAAATTACCTACCATATTTTGCCAAACACTGAGGTCCTGTGATAATATTAGCCCCGTGCGAATCGGCATCTCTGTGATTTGGCCAGCATTTGGTGGGTCGTATGTCATTATTCAAGGTTTTTGTTTCCTGTGTGCCTTTTTATCCATCTTTCACGAAGAAAGGAGCTGCTTTGGAGTGTTTGATAGTATTTTGGGTGCTGTCATATCGCTACACCATACAACTTGCAGAAAGAGAAAGCTGAAAAGGTTTTGAGGTTAATGTGTTACAAATAAATCAAGCATAAAGCTTGAGATATTATTTTAACCTGGTGAAATGTAAATGACAGGGCGCGAAACTATATTAGTTTCTTTTTTTTAAATCCATCTAACCGGACCATAGAACAGGACTCTCAAAGCCTTGACATCGTATCCAGGAGACAAGTCAGTAAATTCGAGTAAAATCACAGGCTTCGCTTATCCCATGCAAATGCACCACACAAAATTCAGATGTGGGGGGGTAATTTCAAAATCACGCAAGGTCCCCAGATAATACTAATCCCGTGCGAATAGGGCTTTATGTTCACTTTTAAATCCAACTACAAAACACCTGTATTTCTACAGCTATAACTACAGCTGCTTGAGCGCGAAGAAAATGGCGGACAGTGTATAACTGGCTGAGGGTGGAAATATGCTAATACGGGACAGTTCGTCAGCGGTCGTGGGCGGGGCCTGAGCAGTATGATGTCATACTGCTCAGAAAATCAAAACAGCTTGATAATTGACTGTTTAGGTTTTTTGAGAATTAAAAAAAAAAAAAAGGAGTGAATGGATTTTTGTCATTGTAGGGTGGTTGTGTCCACACGACACATTTATATGCAAACACCATGTAAAAGTGAATTTTGTCTCCGATGTCCCCTTCAGTGTTTGACTTTGTTGAATAAATGTGCACTGCACGTTTCAAAATCAAAACACAGTGCGGTTGTTTTATGTGAATGTATCTCTGAAGGGAACTGACTGTCATCAGAAAAGTTTCAGTGGCGTTTTCATTTTATCTGATAAAGTAGCGTTCATGAGCGGAGCTGATTTGTATACGGCCATTACTGTAGAAACCACTGCTATTATAGTTTTTATTATTTTGAATTAGTTTTTAGATTTTCTTTACATTTTAGTTACAGTTTTAGTAATTTTAGTTCCCTTTCAGTCGGTCACTCCTGACGTCACGTCGGTCGCTTCGGAGCCGAGCGATCACATCGTTCTGCTCCTGACTACTCTACTGAGAGAAGAAGACTGAACGAGTTCAGGGCGCTCTTTGAGAGCTCTTCGTGTTGGTGGCCGCGGTACGGCGCTTCAGCAGTGGTGGTTTCCCGTGTCGAGTGGGTTGCACACATCAGGCTGCACTATCCCCTGTTTGTGTTGCAGGCGGCCATCTCCCCTGTGCGCCTCAGCACGATAAAAGAGCTTTTTCCCTAAAAGAGCAATTACGTGTGCGTCTTTTTAAAGACGACGTTGCGTGGCAAACTTGATGTTATGTCTTTGTAAAGACGATGTGGGTCTTGCTATAGACAACGTATCACCCGGGCGTTTCTGGATGCGGTCGTTACCTGGCGCTGGGTGATGGTCACGATCGCTGCCTCACGTGCCTGTGCATCTAGCACGCTGAGGTGGCGTTTGTGGATGAGTCATGTTCTCATTGCCGGAAGATGTTCATCTCGGAGTCGCAGGCCAAGCTCCGTTTCCTCAAAGGGGCGGAGTTCCGTTGCCTCTGCCTCAATCTAGTTCTCGTCATGGCGGCAGTCAGGCGGGGGCTACTTCAGGCAGTAGCACGGGCGGTCTGAAGGTAACAGTGGTGGCAAACCATCCAGGGAACCAATCCTCGGGTGACCATCGCTCCTCTTGCACTCCGCAACCAGTTGAGCTGCCAATGGAACGTGCTGGGCCCTCTACAAGGAGCGTACCAGCAGTATCCGTTGGTGCTCCTACCGACGACCGGATGTTGATCGCTGCATCGGAGGGTGAGCCGGAGCTTTCTGGAGAGGAAGATTTGGCTGCGCTGCTCTCCTCCGGGACTGTAGCAATGCCTGAAT